GGGCTCCTGCTTCAGGGGCCCCGACGCTGTGAGGGCAGGAAAGATCCAGCCCGGACCTGTGTGCTGGGGGGGGGGCGCATAGGAAAGATTCTGAAGAAAGGACACTGTCAGTGAGTCCTCGGCAAGGCAGATGCCCAGTAGGAGTTAGGGGGCCTAAGGTTCAGTAGGAGTAAGGCCTGTGAAAGGAAAAGGGGGGTTCCCGAAGCAGGATTGAGAAAGAGGAACTGTTGGGCCACACGATGTAAATCTGACAAACACCGACGGGAAGCTCCAAAGCAAAGGTAACTGTTACAGGAGCCCCATGTTAGGCAAAAAGGCCAAGGTCCTTGTACCACCATCATGCTTGTCACTGGCTGGGGCCACCCTGAGAAGGAGGTAACTGTCAGCTGGAGGCGGACAGCTAATCAGAGTCCCAGCAGCCAGCGAGTCCTTTCTAGAAAGAGGACCTGGGCTGTTATCTGCATCCCCATGTCTGCCACAGGGACTGTCACTGAGGGAGGAGAAGGGGAAACCACAGCTCTGAAAACAGGGCTAGGAATTTGGTTGTGTCCATAAGGGACCCAATGGGAAGTCTTGGGAAGTCTTATTAGGCATCCTGTTTAGGGGATTTGTCCCTCTATATCGTATTTCACTCCACCCCCAAATCTTCAGTGAATTTCTTGGTGAAACAACATTATGAGGAATTAAAAGGGTAAGGCAGCTGGAAAAGTTTGGCCTTTCCCATCTTGTCCCTGCATCTTAGCCTCCACTTGGAAATCACACCAGGGTTATAATCCTGGCATTTCCAGAAGTGACAGGCAGCAGAGAGCCCTGAGACCCAAGATGGAGCCAGACTGAGGGACCTCCCCCCACACACACCCCTTCCCAAACACAACAGTTGAAAGCAATCCTGGGTCTCAGGAAAAAGATAAGCCTGTCTCCAAGAACCGTTTGCCTGATGCTATACAGAGCTCTTATAAAAGACCTATACAAACATTGGATGGGTGATTTCTAAACAGTGTTCACAAACAACTGCCTAAATACAGGGAAATCAAGGGGGGGAATTGAAAAACCAGAAATTGAATAAGCTATGCAACAGAAGTATGAGATCCTAGGGAGAGCAATATCTCACAAAATTAATAATCATTACATTTAAATAGGCAGAGACTAAGTCAGTCTCTGGCACCTACAGAGTCATTCACTGTTTTGTTTGTGTGGTTTCTTAAAATTATTTGTCAACAGTTAAACATCAAATATTTCATATTAAATTCCAGACTTCTACCTTCTGTTTAAAATGCCACGATCTGGTAATGCTGGGCTGGCATTCTCAATGACAAACGTGGGTGGAGCTGAGGATGCCTCAGTTCTGTGAGCTGCAGGTCAGTGGGACCCACCTCTCTTCACAGGCCCCCAGCCACTGAGGCCAGGGTATGCCAATACTTATCACTGAGCTTACACCATCAACCAAAGTTGAAACCTTTCTACGTCAGTGTATAAGAGGGCAGGACAGCAGGTAAATTCACTGTAGAAAGACAAATCCATCAGAACTGTTTCTTAAGGTAATTTGACCAGAGTCAACCATTTAAAACATTTGATCCAAGGGACAAACAGATTTGCACCAAACACAAAATATATAGGGTGTCCCTCCCAAAATATACACACACACGTTGATTATAAAGGCAGTGTTTATTAAAACACATTTCACTTTCAAAATTGAGCTATCGGCTGTTAAAGTGTGTATACATATTTTTGGGACACCCTGTATATACATCCAAGGTTGTTCATTGTAACATTGTTTGAAATAGCAGAACACTGGTAGCTACTTAAATGTTCATCAGTAGGAGACTGGCTAAATAAATTATGGAATGCCCACATAATGGAATACTGCACTGCTATTTTTAAAAGGAGAGACTAGAGTAGATCTATTGTGTACCACTCAGAACAGTCTCTGAGAATGTGTTTTAACAAAAGAAAGAAGGGAGAAAGGAAGAAAGAAAAGAAACCAGTGATTTGGAGGGACTAGTGATGTATAGTGTCATTCTAGTCATGGGATCATTTTTAAGGGAAAAATACACATAAATACATAGGAAGTTTCTGGAAGGATACACAAGACCAAGTGCTGCATGGGTAGTAGTCGAAAGAAGCATAGGGAAGAGTTACTTTTTTACTTTCACTTTATAACCTCTTTTTAAAATAATGAACATGTGTTATTTTTATGATTTAAAGAATAGATATTTTAGTTATTAAAACAAAAACGCATTGATGATGAAAGTAAAATTCCAATTCAGATAAAATTAATTTCTAAGAAAACTGTCATTCTCCAACAATGTCAGAAAAATTGAGTGTAGCTATTCGACACTAACAAGGGGTCAGAGTGTCATGAGTCACTGTGATTTCACATGCGGAAATAAAAACGCCTTCCTCACTGGATTGGAAATATTCAATAAAATTTATAGAAAGCACCCAAACTTTGCCAGCACTTAGTAAGTGTTCAATAAAAGTTGCTATCCCCAGCCCTCCCACACTGCCCAATCCTGACTTGTGCCAAATGATGATACATGAACCAATAACCAGTTGGCTACTGCAAAACCCAAGACTTTAATTCCATTCCAGGTGAATTTCCTTCTGGAACACAGTCAGCCCTAGAAGAAAATGGGAGTATAGTCCTCAATCACAAAAGCATTTCTTCACATCTGCAGATGGTACCACCTCCATACAAGAGCAATCCCATTGCCTATTAAAATTCCCATTTCAAAGAGAATCCAACACACCCACGTATTTCCCCCCAAAATGTGCTACCCCCATCTCCAACAAACCAGCTTGAGGAGGAGGAGGAGCTAGAGATCCCTACACTTTTCTACCTTTTTCTTTTCAGATCACCTCCCTAGTGTCCCCTGTGCTCTCCCAAATGGTGCTGGAAGCCAAATATTGATCCTGCCCAGATAAAGAGAGGCCAATGTTCACGCAGCTCCCAGGCCAGAATCCTCTTCCCAGAACCCAATGCTCTCTGGAGTGTCGTCTCCCTCCGCCTCCTGCCAACCTCAGCTCCTGGGTCTGGCTGCCCACCTCTGGGCAGGAGGTGGTGAGAGATCAAATTTGCCCTGCAGGTCTGTCCCTTTGAAACAAAAGCCCTAAGAACCCCTACTCCAGTCCTCCTACACACCTGCCCCCAGCCCCTCACACAGGTGGAGAGCACTGGGAAGGGTTCCCACAGTGCATTAGCTCTGAACGGGGCAGGAGGAAGAGCAGTGTCACACTATCCAGCCTGTCAATAATTCATGAGTTTCAGACTGAGGGGCACCAGTTAGAGAGTCAGTTTTCCCCGGATATGGGGAAAATTAGACTTAAGCTCTCTTATCTCATTGGGATGTGCTGAGTACCAAAGCTGAGTACCGCAGCTATAACTTCTTGGTTGAGGAATATACTATAAATCAGTTGTGTGTTTTTATATTACTTGTTACCCAAACACCCTCTTTTGACTACTGAAATCCCTTTTTTTAGCTGATCAGCTGACCTATACATATACTAAATGAAACTTTAGCAAGTACAAATTCTATTAAACAGCAATCCCTAACACTGAATTTCACAGACCAGCATTCTGTCTCCTCCAGTTGTAGGGGCTGACATAGGGTTGCCAAACTGATGATTTCCCCAACTAACAACACTTTTCTCAGCCTACCCATCTGCTTTCATCATCTTTTCTTAACAAAAAGACTAACATACACACAAGCAAAAGCCTGTCCCAGAATAAAGGAGTATCTCTTAAGTTAAATAAGCCTAGCTTTAAGAAACTCACCACATTTTAGTTATTTTCCTCATTTTGCCTTGAACTAGTCAAAACTTTGCCATAATCTCAGTCTGGCTTTTGGAGGCCACTGTATTAAACCAATTCAGACACTGGCACTTGGGTTTGCCGGGTCCTCTCTGCAGTATACCATAAGCCATCCAGATTTATCAATTCTCCCAGAAACCCTGGAGGGAGATCATTTCAGCCCACTTGGCAGAAGTGGAGGCTGAAGTATTGGATACAGAATTTATAGCTGGAGAGGACTTTATCCATCACCTACTCCAGCATTTTCAGTTTACAGATGAAGAGTCTGGCCTGTGGCAGGAATAATAATTACTTTATGGTGGCAATAATTACTATGTTTAGTGGTTTACAGTTTATAAAGTGCTTTTACATTCAACAATTATTTTTTGAAGTAGGATGGAGGCCAAGACCTGGGGACTTGGTGATCGTGGAGAAGTGAGTGCTCCTGAGTTCTCTGTATTCCCACCGCTGGTTGGGGGGCCCTCTGGCCTCCTTGCTATCGCTTAGGCCTTGTATAAAGGGGAAGTCCTCCGGGGTAAAGGGTATAAGAGGTCCTGTCCTGCCAGGATCTTTATCCCTACACGTTGGTTACCACAGTGATCAGAGCCTGTCCTCCAGGCCTGTCAAGACGGAGGAGACCTTGAGGCAGAGTGAAGGGCAGTGCCAGGCCTAGACCAGCTGCTCCCCATCTCGTCTCTCTCCCAGGCTCCCCCACCCTCACCTGAGACCCTCTGCGAGGACCACAGGCCTGACCTCCATGAGCACTCTCAAAACATTTGCCCTATTGTGGGCTGTCACATACAATATTTAGACCCATACTTTTTCAGAGAAGGTGCATCCTGAGGTTCTGGGAAGCAAAAGCAACCACCCCGCCCCTCGAAAAATGACATAGGCAAGCAGAGGTGGAAGGAGGGGTGCGAGGAAGACTCCGGGTTCCCGCACAGCGGCGGGCCCTTCAGGAAATCTGGGCGGACTGCGACGTCCCACCCCCGCCAGAGCAGAGCGGAGGGCTGCGGGCGCTGCGGCCAGGCGCCGGCAGGGGGCGCCCTCAACCACAGCCCGCTCCCTGCGCCGAGGTGCGGGCGCCAGGCGGGAGGAGCTGTCCCTCCGAGGGCGGGCCGGGAGCCGAGAGCCTGGAACGCGCCGGGAGGCGGTCCGTCCCTCGCGCCTCCCCACCGGCCGGGCGGAGCCTTGCACAACCGGCCGCGCCATGCTTAAGGCGGGGACGCTGCTGGGCGCCTGTGCCCGGTCGTGGAAGTCGGTGCGGATGGCCAGCTCCAGGGTGGCGCGCCGGGACCTGCTCGCGAATAAGGTGGCTCTAGTAACGGCCTCCACCGACGGGTGAGTGCCCGGGCTGGAGTGTTTGAGGCCCCTGCTCTCTGGAAACAGGTCCTAACTCCTGTCCTTTGCCTACCCCCTGTGCTCAGGCCTCCCGCGGCCCAGGAAGTAAGGAACCACGTGGTTGGCCCGCAGCCCCTGGGAGCTCCTGGCGCTGCGGCCTCGGGCGCAACTGCGCTAGCCCAGCGCTGCGCCCGTCTACCCGGGGTCTCAGGCATCAGGGCTGCCCCATCAACCGGCCCCGCCTAGAGCAGACCAGACACCAGAAGTTCAAGACAGCCCAGGTTTCAAAACTACTATCCCACTGCCTCCATCGACCATGGAAATGTTCCAGACACCCCATTTGGGCACCCCGACAAGTCTCCCAGAACCGCGCACCTTACCTAGACAGAACGCAAGACTCACGTATCCAGATTTTTTTTTTTTTTTAATATATCTTTATTGATTTCAGAGAGAGGAAAGGAGAGGGAGAGAGAGATAGAAACATCAATGATGAGAGAGTCATTGATCGGCTAGCCCGCAACCCAGGCATGTGCCCTGACCGGGAATCGAACCATGGTCTCCTGGATCCCAGGTCGATGCTCAACCGCTGAGCCACGCCCGGCCGGGCTGTATCCAGATTTTTGTTTGGCTGAGTACATTTTGGCCTCCCTTGCCCAGCCTGTCTCTGCACCCACCACTCTTGTCTATACTGCTTCTCCTTTTCACAGGACTGCTAGACACCAGCTCTACACAAATCTAAAATGCAAATGTACTTGACACGCTAATGGCTAACAATTGCAAAACGTGTAACCCTCACTCCCAGGAGAATAATGTAAAAAATTTACATTTCTAACCAGAGGCCCACCCTTTCATATGCACCCCAAAACATAACTAACGATAGAATTCTGAGATATGCAGACTAGTAAGGAAGATATTTGGGGCCAGGGCTCTTTTGAGTGAGACCATCCAGTCATGAAGTGGCTGCTGCTACGGCCCTAGCTCATTTCTTTCCCCTCAGTCCCTGCAGGGTATGAGGCCTGTTCTCTGTGGTGGGGCCTGTGGAAGGTGATTTCACTTTCTGGGAACCTAGTTTGAGAGCCAAAACCACAAGAAAAATAAGTAAACGAGTGCCCAAAAGGAGAGCTAAAATTCAAACTGAGGCACTCTGACTCCAGGGCCCATGCTTTCCATTACTGGCCTTGACAGTCCATCTCTCTCTCTGCCCACAGGATCGGCTTTGCCATCGCTCGGCGTCTGGCCCAGGATGGGGCCCACGTGGTGGTCAGCAGCCGGAAGCAGCAGAACGTGGACCGGGCAGTGGCAGCGCTGCAGGGGGAGGGGCTGAGCGTGACCGGCACTGTGTGCCACGTGGGGAAGGCTGAGGACCGGGAGCGGCTGGTGACCACGGTGAGCAGCAAGGATATGGGCACAGATCCAGGAGGTGGCAGAAGGGAACCAGCCTGAACCTCCTTCCCAGCTTTCCTGGACAACATTGGTGTGATCCAAGCCAGCACTATTAACTAAAACATAATATTGTGTTCTGCATACCCACACCAGTCCACCAGCACACTTTTATTGTGTGCCTTTCTTTTGTGTCTCTAAGAGTCATCCCATCCCAGTCAGAGAATCAAAAACCACTCTAATGCTTGCTTCAACCTGCATCAGCCCTTGGGGGCACCCAAAGAAACAGCTGGTCCTGGTTCTCCAGTAGTTTCCAATCTAATTGGGCAAGTGAGAAGGGCAGATACAATCACAAAATAGATGTTCCTACCTGTAAACAAATCAGACTCAATCCCCTGTTCTTCATGTAAAGGCACTCCCTGAAAACCTGCAGGAAGAAGCCCCCCATGTTTTAGCTACTTATTGTGTGCCATTCACTTTGTTCAGAGTGACAACCACCCAAACAAGGCAAGGACTATTCTCCCTCTTTACACTCTGCTTAGAAAGGTGGAGCTATATCCCAAGGTCCCACAGCCAGTAAGAAAGGAGCCGTGAGTCAACCACGCCTGCCAAGCTGCCTACTAACTACCAGACATTTCCCCATTATCGTCAGGTGAGGCCATGGGTGCCCACTTGGACTTTACTCTCAAAAACAGGTCTAAGCCAGCATCAGAGTTGTTACTTGGCACCAGCCTTCCAGCTATACAAGAAAATATGAACATCTGGCAAAGAAGGCTGCCCTTCTCTCAGGCACAGGGCCCACACTTTATTCCCTGGAGTAGAAGGGAAAATCTACCCAAGAATGGAAAGTGTGGAATTGTACTAACCATTTGGAAGGCTGGCAGAAGTTATTTGGGTAATCTTAGAAGAGGGAGATGTTAAACAATTGTAGATGGCAAAGGTTATTCCAATTTTAAGAAACTGTTTGGAAATGCTCAAATGTGCATTGAAGTCTGGCTGGTGTGGCTCAGTTGATCGAGGGTTGTTCCCATGCACCAAGAGGTTGCTGGCTGATCCTCAGTAGTGGGTGAGCAGAAGGCAGCCAATCAATGTTTCTCTTTCATCGATGTTTCTATTTCTCCCTCTCCCTTCCTCTCTGTCTAAAAAACCAATAAAAACATATTTAAAATATATATATATATATATATATATATATATATATTTTAATGTGCATTGGAGAAATCCAAATATAGGTCCAAGAAAGTCACCTTGTCTGGCATAGGCTCCTGGACAGAGCTGGAGACTGGAACCTTGATCCTTAGGGTAAAGGGACCCATCTGGGATCCTGAGCCAATTAGTGACTAGCCATATGAAAGTACATAGAAACTTAATGTCAAAAACCTGCAGCCCTGGCCCAGCGGTGGAGCTTGAGCTAGACCTTAAGGAGTGGGTGGGATGGACAGATGGAATAGGACAGGATTCCAGATGACCTTGCAAAATGAGCAGGCAGCCTACGAGGGACTGAAGGGAAGAGGGGAACATTGTCAGCCCCACAGCAGAGAGCACAGGTTCAGGAGTGTTGGTGTAATGGGTGGTGGGAAGGAGAGGGCATAGGGGCCCCCATAGCCTCCCAAAGGAGTTTAGACATCCTTGTAGGAAATAAGAGACCACGTGAGGTTTTGAGTAAGATGAAAATGGTTATTAAAGAAAGAGAATCTGGCACTGGTAGGAAGGATATATTGGAGTAGAGAAAACTCTGAGCCAACGACATCAGTGAAGAAGCTGTTGCTGTCATTCAGGTCTGAGCAGTGGTGGTGGGACCAGAATGGATACGCCCAAGAGACATTTAGTGGAACCAACCAATATTTGTTTTCTAACCTGGTGCCAAGAGATGGGAAACAGGAGGGATGAGTCAAAAATGACTCTCAGGCAATGCCAGGGTGGAGAATAATAGGATACTTGTTAGCAATTTGAGATGAGTTCTGCCTATTGCCAGCTGTCACCCTGTGATGAGGAAAGCTGCTGCCCTGAGGATAGTTACGACCCAGTGGCCTAATCCCCACCTTGAAGCTTTTCAAAGGTGTGGTGAGCAGAAACCACATCTACTGCTTCTCCATTTGATTATATTTTTCAAAAATATATACCTATCATGCCCTGGCTAGTGTGGCTTAGTGGTTAGAGAGTCAGCCCATGCATCGAGGGGTCACAGGTTTGATTCCCGGTCAAGGGCACATACCTGGGTTGCCAGTTTGTTCCTGACCCCTGTCTGGGCTCGTGCAGGAGGCAACCAATCAATGTAACTCTCTCACACTGATGTTTCTCTCTCCACGCCCCCCACTCTCTCTAAAAAATCAATGGAAAAATATCCTCGGGTGAGGATTAACAGAGATAGATAGATGATAGATAGATGATAGATAGATAGATAGATAGATAGATAGATAGATAGATAGATAGATAGATAGATAGATGATATAGATAGATAGATGATAGATAGATGATAGATAGATAGATAGATAGATAGATAGATAGATAGATAGATAGATAGATGATAGATAATAGATAGATGATAGATTAGGTAGATGATAGATAGATGATAGATTAGATAGATGATAGATGATAGATGATAGATTAGATAGATGATAGAGATAGATAGATAGATAGATAGATAGATAGATAGATAGATAGATAGATAGATAGATATAGAGAGATAGAGAGAGAGAGAGATAGACAGACATCAAAACACAGAGCAAACAATGCTTAACCACTTTTGTGTAGTGATCACACAATTTAGAGAAAGACTTAGAAGACACCAGCTGGGTAGTCAGAGAACCTTAATCTTCTATGGTTCTCTGTCTCTGTTCAGTCTAAACCCAGCCTCACCCCCTCTCCATGCTGATAGGCCTGGAAGAAAAGGGGGGTAAGACGCAGAGCCAGAAATGAAAAGCATTCCAGGTGATTCTGGTGCAATCCACCACTTTCTCCCCCACCCCAAACACATGCATAGGGCACAGCCCATGACACTTTCTAACGTATTCTGTACTTTCCTAGCCACAAGTCCATAGGCCAGACTTACACAGAGCCAAGGCAAGTGACTGGGGCTTTGTGCCAGGACACCAAAATTTAGAAAGTGCAAGAAAGTATTGATACGGGTTTTAAAAGATAATGTGATTTTAAATTTTTGTGAAATTTACATGTTGACAGCTCAGGCGTTCGAAACATCTGAGCTTAGCACCTAGTTAGCAAGAATAATTAGTTAAAACCAGAGCTAGCAGATGGTACACGTTGTTAATAACATCCCTCCCTGCACCAAATCGTGAAACACAAAGTCAACTCAGGGCCCACTGACTGCTGCTTGTCCCAAGCATCAAAATTGCTAGTTCTGGCCCTGGCCAGTGTGGCTCAGTTGGTTGGAGCATCATCCCATACACCTACAGGTTGCAGGTTCAATTTCTAGTCAGGGCACATACCTAAATTGCGGGTTCAGTCCCTGGTCAGGGCATGTATGGGAGGCAACTGATCGATGTTTCCCTCTCACATCAATGTTTCTCTCAATTCGTCTCTCTAAAATCAATAAAAAGTATATCCTCCAATGAGGATTTTTTAAAATTGCCAGTTCTAGGTAAATGCAATCTGATTTCCAGGTGGTATATTGTTGGCAGATTCTGTTTGGCCAGTCATTACTCCAGCACATTCCTGCCACCGCCTGCTTACAATTTATTAAGGAGGTGAGATGTTACCCTTCTTGGTTTTTCCAGTTTCAATATCAGCTCTGCCTTGAATCTTCCATGCCTCCTAGCCAAAAAAAAGGCAGGGATGACATTACAATGAAGTACGGTACTGCTTTAAGCCCAGGCTGGTGTCTCCCCCATCAGACCAATTTCAGTTCTGCCACCACTACCTAGCTTTGTGCCCTGAGAAAATCACTTCGCCTCTCCCAAAGACCAAAATGAATAGGCCTCCTGCTCTTTGCTGGCCCTAACATGTCATTACTGAGTCATAGGACCTTGAGAAATTAACTTCCCTGGACCTCAGAGTCATCACTTTCACCATGAGGACATGGAACTAGATGACCTAAAGGCCCCTCCCAGTGGTAACTTTCTATGAGTCTATTTAAACTAGTTTCTCCATTCAGGTAGGTAAGTTAATGGTAACTCATACCAAAGAGAACTGGACAGTAAGCACTTGGAGAAATGGGACTGGGACTCAATGTGAAAAGAAGGGTCTAGAAAAATTTTGAGGTGAAAGCGAGGCCATGAGAATAAAGGAGCTCCCCAAGGAGAAAGTGTAAAGAGTAAAGTGTAAAGATGCTGAAGAAATGAGACAACCGACTGACCTGAAGCCCTGATTCAGACCTTACTCTCTCCAGGCTGTGAAGCTTCATGGGGGCATTGACATCCTGGTCTCCAACGCTGCCGTCAACCCTTTCTTTGGAAACCTATTGGATGCCACCGAGGAGGTGTGGGACAAGGTAAGAGGGGATTAAAGCAGCAAGGGGCCAGCTTCAGAAAACAGTGCAAACTCAGTCTGCTTTTAGAATGCATTTGTCAAGTGCAATGTAAATGTGAGGAATCCTTGGGATTTCCCACGCACCTGGACTGCATCTGGTAAAGGGCTAGTAGGACGTGGCTTCCTCTCTCCCTGCCCATCTCTTTCATTGCTTCTTCTGACATTTTGTCTTCTTCCATTTGCTCCTTGCTAGCCGCCTTCTTCCCTACACCCCAATCCCCACCCTGCCCTTATCCAGGCCTAGCCAGGCTCTTCTTCCTGGTTTATTTCCAGGGGACATGGCAGCTAATCTGCCAATAACTAATACACTTAAATTTGAACACCACTCCTCCCCCTTTTCAGCTGCCAAAAAAGAGTATTTCTCATTAGTTGGAAAACTTTAATAGCTTCTAGTAAGTAAAATACCAATTCTTTAATAGCTAGTTTAATACCAAAACTTTAATAGCTGCTCATTAAGTGAAATACCAATTCTGGTGAAAAGACCTAAGTTGCCGCTTTATAACATACAGCCTTTGAAAAAGACCTGTGCTCTTTTCTTCTTAACTGCAACAAGAAAATTGGAGATCCAGATATCTAAATTCAAGTGTGGAATTTTGGGGTTTATGAGAGTGTGTATAATTACATAATACCTATAATATATTTCACACACCTACATTCTTTAATTATAAAGCCTTAATTAAAACATTTGTCTTCATTTACCAACGTTAATATTCCCACGTGGTTTGGAAATGCTAGTTTTTTTATGATGGCCCGTGGTTTTACTTTTCTTCTGATGTCATCAATTATGTCTCAACACTGCAGTTTAAGAATACTAAAATTCTTTATCCATGCTTTATCTGTGTTTCAGAGACCTAGAAACCAAAGTGCCAAATGCTCTTCAGTGAGTCAGTTCCTGATTGATGTTCTTTAAAGTAGAAACACGTCTTTCGTGAGCAGTCTGAATGGAGACCGCAGGAAAATAATTTTAAACCAAGTAATTTTTCTGTTTAGTTTGCATTTTAAAAAATATCACAGTATTTCAAATCTAAATGCCAAGGTTGATTCTTGATTGAACCTTGGATTTTTAAAATAAGGACATTTGGGAGACAATTGGGAAAATTTTATTATGGACAACACATTAGGTAAAATCATTATTATCAGTGTTAAATTTCTTGGGTGTGGTCATGGATTATGGTCTCTTAGAGAATGGATATTATGTAGGGGTAAGTATGTAGGGTTAGAGAGCATTATGACGTCTGCAACTTAACTTTCATTGGTTTAAGAAAAAATGGTATAAATACACAGATAGGGCAAATGGGGCAAAATGTGAACAATTGATGAATCTAGGTAAAGGATATTAATTGTACTTCTGTTTCAGCTTTTCTCTAAGACTGAAATTTTTCAAAGTAAGCCTGGAGGGTATGGGAGGGGACTATCCCAGCTGCAATGATCATGCATCTGTTTTAAATGATGGATGTGGGATTTTTATTCCAGCCTATGCCTCAGCTTCCCCAAAAAGTGCCTCTTCATGATCCCACTTTCCAACAAATGTTCAGCCAGACAATCCATCCTGGAGGGCCAAGACCATCTCACTCCCTGAGCTCAGGAGCCAGAGGAGTGCTGGAACACCCCCGGGCCCAAGGTCAGGCCACATTTTCCCTGAGAAGTATGCCCCACTCAATGGCAGGTCCCAGGAGGCCAACCTAATTCCATCCTCTCCCTGGTTAGGAGAAACAGAAAATCCAGCTCAAATCCAAAGTTGCCCTGAGAGTTTAGGTCCATACTAGGCCAAATCATACTTAGCTAGTTAGGAAACAAGATGAACCAGGCTCTGTTCTTTCTCACCCAAACCTATTGTTTCATCCTCTAGCTGAATAAGCTAGTGAAAGACACTTCTCCCTGGGCCTTGGTTTCTTCACTTCAAAGGTCCCAGGAAATCATCTCTAAGATCTCCACCAGCTCTACCAAGATGATGTGAGGGACTCTATTATGACTGCTCACCGCCCTGACCTCTCTAGCTCTCTCCTCAAGCTGTTTCTCCTTCTCTCGGTTTCAGATTCTGGACATTAATGTGAAGTCCGCAGTCCTGTTGACAAAGGCAGTGGTGCCAGAGATGGAGAAACGAGGGTACAGAGAGGGAGAGGGAGAGGGAGAGGGAGCCTGGGTGCAACAGGCCCCACGTAGTCTGAGGGCAGGGGGTCTCTGCTGGGTAGAGGGTCATTCTCTTCTTTTTCCAGAGGCGGCTCAGTGGTGATTGTGGCCTCCATAGCAGCCTACACTCCGTTTCCTGTAAGAATCCCTTTCTCTGCTACTTCCATCCCTTCCTCCACCCTGCACCTTTCCACCCTCCAGTCACCCTAAGAAGTTTTTATTCCCCTTTGGAACACCACCAAGTCCCTTCCCATAAAATAGATGCCTTGCCTCCACGAACAACAACCTTGGGGAGGGTTAGCCTCAAGACAGTTTTCTAACTGGGACCCTCTATTACAGGAGATGCCCTATTATCTACTGCCCTTTAAGTCTTCCAATAAGAACCAAGAATGAACCAGAAACAAAGAGACTGTCCCATTTTCTCCTTTCCCCAGGGCCTGGGTCCTTACAATGTTAGTAAAACAGCCTTGCTGGGCCTCAGCAAGAACCTGGCCATAGAGCTGGCCCAAAGGAACATTAGGGTGAACTGCCTGGCGCCCGGAATCATCAAGACTAACTTCAGCGGAGTGGTGAGGAGGGGGAGTCGTGCATCCTGCTGGGGAAGCATCCACCTGGGTCCTGAGCTCCCAATCACTCCTGCCCCCCTCCCCAGGCTTTT